AACTCTATTCTATTTGTCTAAGAACGTTATGGTAAAATTAAACCGACCAACAATATGACATGGTTTGTGAAGAGGGCCTCGCCGTGGTTGGTTTCCATGCAAACCATTTCTATTTAAACAACGTTGTATTCTGCGAGTACTTACGCTGATGCCCATCGTATCTAAACGTTTTGTGATTTCTTTCAAAACAAAACTTGGGTTTATATTAACCTAGCGAGAAAGTTTTCTTGAAGTTTGCAGTGACAATTTGGATTTTTTTTATGTCCAGGCAAATTCTCTGCCGTGCCAAGCTGTTTAAACTTCTTTATAACTGACTGCATCGTTAGCTAACCGGTTTGAAATAGTGCTGAACCTATTTCCCGATTTGTGAAAGTTAATAATTCTTTGTCTCAAGTCAACGGTAAGATCCTTTGTCTTCCCTATCATGTTGTTAACGTAAGAATAAAAATGGTGACACTCTATGCAGCACATGATGTTCTTTGCTGGAATTATCACATATATTCTACTGATTAAATAATCTACAAGGCGTCACCGATAAAATAATTATGTAAATTACTTATACTTATACGAATCAATAAATTTAAAATTATGTTGTCTATTGTAGGAATAATCTTGTCTTTTCCTATTTTGCATAAATCGTCTGTTAAAATTGCTGTTTTTAACCTATTCTTCTGAAAATTGAGTTTTATATCGAGTTTTATGTTGTCGAGTTGCAGCACCAAAGTCTTTTTCAACGTTCTATAGCTGGTGAGATTAGACGAAGTAAAACTGTTGTTGCAAATTTCTTAAAAGACGCTTAGGTATACGGAACGAAATTTTCAAGTGGTCAGCTCAAGAAAATGTTGTAGACGTGGAGTGTTCAATATATGTAGATTTCGGCATTAAATAACGCCTAGAGGTTTATATACCGCTAAACAAAATAGGCCAACAAGAACTCTTCATTGATATTAATCCAAATGATATAAACACAAATACTTATGGAAATCAAAATATATTCCAAAACATAGCTACAACAATTACAGCGACATAAAACACGCATATCACCACCTCTAGTAATTATGCCCAGCTAAACATGTATATGCACAAAAGCTGAGTATTATCTACCATGTATTCAATTGTGAAAGTAGAATAACTTATATCATATTTTTAATATATCAAAGCTTCCAAGAAAACAAAATGCATTAAATGAACCATAAGCCGTTGATACGCCATTAAACAAACTTACTAAATTGATAATTCTCTTCGAGAAACTCTAAGGTCTATTCAGCATACTTGTAGAATAAACGGCATATTGGCTCAGTGGGTGTTGAAGACTGTGCAGGCGTATGCAACTGTGATCAGATAGCCACAATAGCAAGCGGCGATATTTGGAAAGGAACAGCCAGCTCTGTTTATATCTGCATGTATATGTATTCTAATAAAAGGTTCCGCTTTATATAATTTTCGATGAAAATCTATATGTAAAATATATTTTATAAAGCATGTTAATTTGCGAAAATTTTCAAGTGGTCATCTTTGAGAATATTTCATTATCCTTTCGGCTTCATTTATCCCTGAGATTAAATAGAAAAATATTTATCATCAAATGGGCGCGCCCATACTTTTCCATGTCGCCATTTTGTTCCTCGTATTTTCCCCTTTATATATGTTTTTAAAATATTTCTTTCTCTGGTCCTGTTTCATTATTTTATCTACTTTTTATCAAGTAGAATTTTTTTTTGTTTTAACGCCATGTTTTTTTTATTACAGTTTTAGTCATACGTGTTCCTCCCCATACACAGTTTTTTTTTATTTGTTGGTTTATCGTATGATGTCCTTCTTCTCTTTGAAAGCTTGTATGAAGGAAAATACTGTTTTTCTCTTAATGAATTTGCTAATTAATTTACTTTGCTACTTTTTATTCATTTATGTGCTTCAAGAAAGTTACTGATCAGAAGCCTTTCTTGTTTTTAAATTTTGCTTTTATATTTTTGCCATATTTTCTTATTGATTATTGAGTTCCATTCCGTTCTATCAATGGGGAAATGAAAGGGAATGTTATCAAGTGCTTGTTGGCCATCGCCTGCCAAATGTTCTTAGGTGTTGAAATCGAAAAATGAAAAAAAAAATTGGGAGAGAGAGAGAGAGAGAGAGAGAGAGAAAGAGACAGGAAAAGATTTATTTTAAATTCCCACCGTCTCTCAATTCCAATTTATTAAATTAAGACATGTCATTAAAATTTCGGAATGCATGTGAATTAACATCCTCACTTTGTCATATCCGACACGTTACAAGGGTTCAAAACATCGGTTGGCTTCTGCTCTAAAAGAAAAAAAAAACTTTTTAAATCTCAAGATTTACTTTCCGTTTCAATGTAAAATTGCAACCAAATGGAATATAAATACAGATCAGTACAAGAATGAGTGCATGAGGAACACTCTTACATGTTATGTTGAATTTACACAAATTACGATTTGCATAATCAATTTTCTTGATAAAATCTTAGCTCACATCGAACAGACAATTATGTTTCTTGTAGCATAATGATGTTACTGCGAATCCGATAGAATGAAAGGTGTGAAGGCGTTTGACTGAACCTGAACAGAATCAGGTTTAATAATTTTGAGTCTCTTCGAGACAATATTTATCGCTTTTTACCTAGTACAGATTTCTTCTATATTTAAAAAAATCATTTCACCCAAGCAAGGCGATAATGGCACTAAGACCCAATACATTAAATTTAATATTTCAAATAAGCAAAACACATTGCTGTATTTCAAAACTAATTTAAATTGACTGGAAAGAGTTTTTACTTTTTTGCTAAAATAGGTGGTTATCGACATTTTTTGTCGCCTTGCATCGCAATGAAATTCTTTTTATTAAAATAATGTTCCAAAAATATCTGAAACTTTGCCGGATACTCTCTGATATAAAGTATAGTTAATGTGATTTGAAACAAATAATATTTACTTTAAGTTTGAAATATCACAGAAATGCATATTTAATCCGAGTGTAGTTGTAATTGGCGTGCTGAATTGATGATGAAAGATTTAAAGTTATTCTATGGCGAATTGATCTGTAAAAGATAATTGAAGAAAATGACGTAAGCGGCTTTTTATATTATTTTAAGTACACAGTAACCTTACAATTTTGGAAAACATTCCCCGTAATCTAATGTTTTATTGGATTTTTGAAAATTTTGCCTTTAAATATACTATTGTTATCGCGGTTGTTTAATGATAATGATGTGTATGGTCGACCGTACATCGAAAAATCTGCACGTTTATAGGCGTACAAAAATAATCAATATTATTTGTAAAGTACCGGTGTTTGTTTATATTTAATATGCTTTTCCGTTAATGATTAGTAAATATAGGTTTACGCAATCATAATATAATCTAAAAGTGTGAAATTAATACAGAATTTTAAGTTATTGAAATTATATCTTTTAAATGAAAACAATTCTTGTAAAAATTTATTATTCAACGAATAATTCTCCAAAGAATTCTGCTTTTAGCTAATATAAATATGAAGGAGTGACATTTAATTATTCGAAATTTCATAAAATTAATAAAAGGGGGTGTAAACAGATGTAAAGAAAAAAATTCTTTCAAGATCTTCTAAAAAAAGAAACAGTTTCAAAACTAATTTCATTTATTTGGGAATAACTCCTGAAAATTTCATTAGCATCCGTCAATTTTTGGGCTTTTGAAAGTATTTCCAATAAATGTGCTTTTACTGCAAAAAAAAGAAACAAAAATACTATACTAATCTTTACTCTACTCCTCCAAGTGATGCAAGAAAAATAAGATATTTAACCAAAACTTCGAAGATGATAGAAAGGATTAATGAAATAAGATATACTTTGGTCTTTCCTTTTAACAATAAAGTAAAAATTTCGTTGATAAAATATTTTTATCATTTTAGTGTACTTTATTCAGCAGGGTATAGTCTTTTTTTCATGGAAGTAGTTGAAGTATCAATCTCTCACTCTTCTCATACATACATATATATATATATATATATATATATATATATATATATATATATAAAGAGAGAGACTAATTGATTATAAGAATAGATTGATGGATGAATAGATAGATTATGCAAAAAAAAAAAAAATCGAACAACGATACACTTTAATTTCGCCCTGTCCTTCTTGTAGAAATGGTCATAGATAGATCGATACATAGATAGATAGATACATAGATAGATAGTATATCGGTAGAAGAATCACAAAAAAATTCATTTAATAACCATTTTGATTAATGATGCAATCCATTGCAGGCATTCGAATGCATGCTATTAAACTCTGCACAGGTTAAGACGATTTTGACAAGCTCAATTTAACAATCTTCAAACCCAACTATACGTTTGTTAAATTTATCTAGACTGATTTTTCGTACATATTATAAAATTCAGTTATTTATTTGTTCTGTATCTCGATTCAATCATCTTTACTACTGTTATTCGATATCATCTCGGCTTTAAGTTAAGTGTTTACACCCACCCACTCCGCAGTCTGCACGCGTAAATATACTACTTACAATTTTGTTATATCTTTACGCATCGTTCCGAAATGCAAGAGTTATTTAATTAAGTCCCTGAATCTACATACATTGCCTCCTTAAAGAACATGAGCTCTTGTCCGGGCCCTTCGATTCGGTTTTCAAATCGGATCTAGTTTGATTTACCTTCTCGTCTAGAAAACAACAAAATGTTTAATATAAAGAATGTCTTCATTTGCTTTCCTCCATATTTTTCCTTTCTTGTCTCTTTTCTCTACTCATCGCATTTAGCTTCCTCTCTTTCTCTTTCTATAAAATTCTTTATATCTTTATATTCCACTTTAAATGTGCATTGTTTAAAATTCCGCTTGAATTCTTTCGTCTTTTTCCAAATATTTCTCTTAAACTGAATCATAAATTCTTCTTAATTCTGTATACCAATTCCTCTTCCCGTTCTTCACATCTGACCTTCGATTATCTCGTCTCTTTCAATCTCTTTCTCTATTTTTATAGACAGCAACACGCTACACTACTATCTCTCTTTCACTTCAGTCTCTCTTATATTATCACACTACTTTTTTCTATAATTATTAGTATACTATTTTTCATATTTCAGCTCCAAAACAAAGGAATGGAAAATGAAATCCATGAAGTTGCCGTTGTGGTTGTTTTTCAAATGTTCAGTTCTAGACATTAAAAGCCAGCAGTTGGAATCTGGGGTTTATTTGGATTCTTACTTCAAATTATTAATAGGAAATAATCAACCAACAGGTTTTTTGTCATTCGTTATATTTCAGATTGGGGTTACAGTAATCTTCGGCCACGAAAAGCGTCGCTAGATGGCATTGTAGGTAGCAATATAAAAGGAAAGAACTCAAACCATTCCCACGCAATATTTTTCTTTCTTTGATTAATAGCATGTCATATTCACGAGCTAGTACACATAATATCTATTTAGAGACGCCAGATTTAAAAACCAACAGACCACAATGAACGACTATAATACACACACACACACACACACACAAACACACATAAATATATTATATTATATTATATATAAGTTATATTATATATATATATATATATATATTATATATATATATATATATATATATATATAAACATCGACCTCCAATGAAGTTATTTCATGCAGTGATATATATATATATATATATATATATATATATATATATATATATATATATATATATATATATACTAGCTGATGTACCTGGCTGCAATTGTATAACCACACTCCTGTATACCCGCACCCACTGTCGAGACATATCTCCCGGCTTGCATGCTTCATCCATTGGTATGTCCTTCGCAAGTGTTCTTCTTCTCATATTTACTGAAAAGCGTGGGGTAACAAGAGGCTCTTCGGTATTTTTTTTCCCTTTTAACGCTTCAATAATTCTCCCCTAACACTCTTTCCATCAAAGAATTTTTGAATACCAATTTAGGGCGGAATCACATGAAGAAACTATTGGCTAATTGGCAAAAGCCAATTTTGGGCATAGTTTGTTGCAGCTTTCGTCCTCTTAACTGAAAATAATCTAAACCAAAACTTCACGCAAGAAAATTTGTGTGTCATGTGTAATTTCCATGGTAAATTTGGAAGTCAACGGATGCCTGGAAAATGGATTTATTCCTAGTTTTTCATTATACGCGGGGAAACGTTATCTTATTTTTTGCACGCTGTTAATTTTTTTGCGACATTTTTAAAGAGTATTGTATAAAAAATGAAAAAAGAGTATTAATATTTTTATCTTAGTTAGTACGAAAAACCCGAATGTTTCACATATTTTTTGCAATCTTTGCCACTGTCTCAGGAAAACTATGAAACGCACTACATAAACCTGAACTATGTTTGCATTATGTGTAAAGAACATCAGATCGTCCAGTAAGAAATTTTTCGCATGTAACTTTGCATTGGTTCTTGCAAAAAATCGTACCCAACGTCAGTTTTATCGATTTTTCTGCAAAACCCGGGGGTCCTGGTGATTGAAGATTTGGTCGTGACCCTTATTGGTAAACTTTCAACGGTTGAGAAATGTGCCCGTGCATAAATAGCATACACACAAACAGGCAGACACGTATATATATATATATATATATATATATATATATAGATAGATAGATAGATAGATAGATAGATAGATAGATAGATATGTGTGTGCATGTCTGCGTATAAAGAAACAATAAACATGATAAAAAGGCTTCTTAATACGACACATATTATCAGGAAAAACAGTGCACCTCACAAAAAATTGATCATATATATATATATATATATATATGTATACGTGTGTTTAAGGTTGTGCACGTGGGGTGACGTATGCATGTATATGTGTGTACTGGTATATATATATATATATATATATATATATATATATATATATATATGTGTGTGTGTGTGTGTAAGAAGACATAAAAACGCTGTATATCTTGCATATGTGTGCATATGTATGTAGAGATATATATGAACATGTACGTATTTCTGTGCGTGTCTCTATATATAACCATGTAACTTGGTAAGTATGTGTCTGTACGTATGTGTGTATGAGTGTGTATGTACTGATTCCTTGTAATGGGACGGTATGTGTGTGCTTCTGTACGTGTGTATGCTTGTGTATATTTGTGTGTGTGTACAGATGAGTTCACTGATTCCTCGTAGTAAAACAATGTCTATGTAGGGAGAGGGGATATACATATATATGCACTCATGCTAACAGAAACACACGGAATTGGAAATAGATCTAAAAATACACAGGCATCATTAAAAGATAAGAATGCCGATAACTACTCCATTTCTTCTGACCAATCTTAATTGTTTTATAAATCTTCACGCAGAAATCTTCACTGTCAGTTCAAGAAAGATATTTTGGTCACTAACACAGAAAAATAGAATGTCTCATATCGACAATATTTAGCATCGAAAAACATAAAGGAAAAAATTAATTAATTTTTATAAAATCTGGAATTCACCACCCTTTGCCTGATGATGGCCGCGAGACCAGAAACACGTGTAGCAAGATTATGGAAAATGAAGCATAATAATTTAAAAAAAAAATCCACATTACAACCAAAAACGTTTGCGGTTTCTCTCTTCTTTTTAATATAGACACTTTTCTCTCGTTGAAACTACTATAACCTCTTCCTTTGTATATATATATATATATATATATATATATATATATATATATATATATATATATATATATAATGTTGGACGATTTCAAAAGATGAAGAAGAGACTCGAGGCGACAGAGATGTGGTTCTGCAGAAGGATGCTAATGATTTAATGGACCCAATATGTGAGCAACGATAATGTCTCATAAAAAAATTGATACCATAAACAGTTTGAAAAATCCTGCGAAGCTAAAATTATAATTCGCAGATGAAAATGGTCATTAACTAATGGTATCTTAATTCCAATTGTAAGAATATATATATATATATATATATATATATATATATATATATATATATATATATATATAAGAAGACAGAATACATGGTCATCAGTAAGATGAAGACCCCGAAATGCGGTTTGCCGGTCGGGGACACTAGAATCAAGCAGACGAGGAAGTTTAAATATTTGGGAATCGTCTTGACAGAGGACGTTAAATGCGACACTGAGAGCCGTAGAGGTATTGTGATGGCCAAGGTCACATTCCAAAAGATGGGCAGAGTATTCCGAGACTGGAGGATTTCTTTTGTGACAAAGAAAAGAATACTGAACTATTACGTAACATCTGTCCTTCTTTACCGCAGCGAATGATTAAAGATTAAGAAGAGAGCCGAGTCAGCAGAGATGCGGTTCTACAGAAGGATGATAAGGATATGAACCTAGCGTATGAGCAACGATGAGGTCTTAGAGAGGATGCAAACAAGGAGGACGCTTATAATTAACATGAGGTAGAGGCAGCTGACGATTCCGGGGCACTTAATGAGGTAAGAGAGCCTAGAGAATTTGATACTCACGGACTGAAGATAGGAAGAGAGAGACAATGGAAAACATCCTGAAAGTCAGATAAAAAGAAAAATGGATCGGAGTGTGACTGAATGATAATTTAAAGGACAAAGAGGAAACGTTTATCAATTTAAAATGTTTTTACTTTTATTACATTTTCATCAGAGAAAGAGTAAATGTAATTTGATCTATGGTACCCATTTATCTTCATATATCCCAACGCGATTTTTTTCTTACATCATCACATTCTCGAGGGACTGTATATGAAAATCGACGAACCAACACTCAACGAAAATTTATTGCGAATATAGCAACAACATGTTAAGTGCATATAATATTAAATAACATTTTTTATTTCTACCGAGTTAGGCTCAGCTCCCTTAAATTGAAACGCTTGTTTTACCAAAATTCCATAACTGCAATGGATAATTTAAAATTCTAAAACAACTATGACAAAGCGTGTTTGTCAGAAAGGAATGCAGATTTTATCGCAGTTAGTCTTTGCAATTTACTCCTGAAGATGTTCATAGAGACGATCGAAAGTACTTGGAGTAAAAAACTACGATGACTTCCTTGATGAATTCCATCTTTATATCAAGTAACTGATTAGACAACAGGCATGGATTATTATAAAAAAATAAGTAGACGCAATATGCTTATATTATTTAATGAAACATATTTGAATGAAGATATATATATATATATATATATATATATATATATATATATATATATATATATATATATATATATATATATATGAGTGTGTGTGAGAGAGAGCGCGCGCGTGTGTGTGTACAAAATGCGAAAACAAAATTGGAGGAATTATATAGACCAAAATCTTTGGGAGATGAGCATAACATAATGTCCATTTCCGTGAATTTTCGTGAATTAAACATCGACCACACAACAATTTACCAACGTTTAGCAATAATCCAAGGAAATGACTTATCTTAAAATGATCAGAACAAACAATTATTTTGTCAGTTTCTACACACAATCATTCTGAATAATTCTATACAAGAAATCTTCAATAGAAACTTTTTTTTTATTGCGCATGCATTATAAAGGGATTCCTGTCGCAATAAGCTACTACACACACATTTTCTTTCTTCCTTTTACACACACTCACACACACGCAAACACACACACACATACATATATATATATATATATATATATATATATATATATATATATATATATATATATATAGAGAGAGAGAGAGAGAGAGAGAGAGAGAGAGAGAGAGTGTCAAATTTTAAATGTTGCGGTGACCGACTACGATTACAAGCTGCATGGGCCTTCACGCAAACATCAGCCTCTTTTACCATCAGACATTTTTACAATTTCGTCTATCTTTTTCCCTTGCAATCTTATGTAGATTCTTTTGGGAGCTGCTTGTTTATATTTCTAATTATATATATATATATATATATATATATATATATATATAATTAGGCAGCAATTTTTCATTAGTGAATGTTTCAGTAAATAATATAAACAAGTTTTGTCTATTTATCTTAAGCAAGTTCCTTTCATATTGTCTGATAAGCTTAATTACATTATCATTGAAAGACAAATGGAAAACACTATATTGATACATGTTTAAATC